GACTGCATGCCCGCGGACCTCTATATTTCTTTCTAACCAAATCTGGAAATCTGGTTGAATTTGGACAAAATTTCCATGACACAAGCCTCACAGCCAATGTCTTCAGGCTTCAGAATCAGCCTTTTGGCTGGCTGTTCTGGCTGGTCTGAACCTTGGAGCTGGAACATCCAAGGTCGAGATTTGGATTTCATGCGCCTCTCCACTTTGATTTGATCGTACTTGCGGAGTGCTGTGTACAACCCCGATTGCTCTTGTAGGAAAGAATCTGACAGGCGTTCCTCATTGAGGTAAACATCAGGAGATCGTGCCAGCTATGATCATCATCAGCAATCTTACGCACGGCATCGGCCAAATGCTGCAGGTACCTCGAACACCCCTCAGTCGCTGCAGCTGCATAGTTGCTGTAGCATTTGTATTCATTGTACAGGGCCCAAGGCTCGGTACCATCAAACATCCTGGCAATTAAAAAACTAGACGACGGATGGCCCGAGAGCGTAGAGGAGCAGGGTCTTCTCTTGTTAGTATGGAGACGCAATTTTAGAAATGATATATGAAAGATGTGTTATAGGCAGTCGAGAAGAGGAGTATCAAGACAAAATAGTGAGAAGTGCAAGACAATAGTTTGCATCGCAAACACTTTTACACACAGACGCTTTTACACACAAAAGCTTTTAGACACAGAAGCTTTTACACACAGAAGCTTTTACACAGACGCTTTTACACACAAAGCTTTTACCCACAGAAGCTTTTACATACAGAAGCTTTTACATACAGAAGCTTTTACACACAGACGCTTCTACACAGACACTTTTACAATCTTTTACACACAGACACGTTTACACACAGACACTTTTACACACAGACCCTTTTACACACAGGAGCTGCTTTTACACACAAACGCTTGTACACACAGAAGCTTTTACACATAGACGCTTTTACACACAGGCACTTTTACACACAAACACTTTTACACACAAACAGTTTTACACACAGACGCTTTTACACGCAGACGCTTTTACACACAAACACGTTTAAACAGATGCAATTTTACATACGATCACTTTTACACACAAACATCTTTACATAGAACCACTCGTACACACAAACCCGTTTACACACAAAGACTTTTACACACAGAAGGTTTTACACACAAGACTTCTACACAGACGCACTTGTACACACAAACACTTTTACACACAAACATCTTTACACAGAAACGCTCGTACACACAAATCCCTTTTCCTGCGAAAGGATTACTCCAGCACACGATACATCGCAATTTTACCTCAGTTTTTGCCGATCGAACAAACACAGGGGTCTCTGTTGCTGAAGCATACAAAAAGTACCATGAACTTTTTGATGGGGCCCTTCAGAAGGCTGCGAAGGAGGAGGGCGTCAATTTGGCTAAGAACGGTGCACTGCCACGTGACATAGGCACTGTATTGATTGAGAAGGCCGGATCAGATCCTCAGGTTCAGGAGTCCTTCAGTGTGTTGGAACATGCCGTGGATGCGCAAGAATCGGCCCATGGTTGGCTGCATGATTGGTTTGAGGAGTTGCGCAACCTCCCCAACAATCTCCAGGAGTGCAGTCACATCGAAGTGGAGAATGGTATCATTAGCCATCTACCATTCATGCTAACAAGCTACACAATTTGCTCCACAGCGTGGTCTTGTTGTAAGTGTGGGACCATTGACAAGATCAGCATGTGGGAATCAATTCTGGCTGTGATTTCTTCCAAAACTCTGAGCTGGGCAGGAGTTTGTCTGGCCAAATGGATGCTTGTGACAGTTACCTCTGTAGGATCCGTTGCTATCATGGTAGGAAGTGTGCTGGCGGCTTGGGCTGGCAGTTCTGCCACGCATGGCATCTTCCAATGCGCCTGGGGCACACAGGGGAGCAGAGCCCTGGAGGAAGCACTGGGGAAGTTGGTGTTACCAGGAGATGGTCGGGGAGCGTCGAGGCTGCCAACCACCGCAAGCATCGAAGAAGTTGAGGAACGCTATGAGATGCTGTACCCCCAGCATGATCCACAACGGCCGAATGGCAACATGGAAAGCTTCGAAGAGATCAACTTGGCCTTCTACCAGGCCACAAGCCTCATGGCCCACAAGAGGTTCCAGTAGGCAGCCGTGCGGATGATGATGTTCAGCTTGGCATGGTGACCCCTGCGATGAGGTCTTGGAAAGTGTCAAGAGTCTGAGACAAAGTTGCATGAATTCGCAGAAAAACAACTACGACCACCTGGTCCACCCAGCCCGGGTTGAAGTTACTCCTAAATCAATCTAAAACACATAGAAACGTAATGTATATATATATATATACATATACTTACTCTTTTTCTAATAATGATTTGGATTTCAGACTTTTTTGCATCTTGTTTGTGGGTTGATATAATCTCTTCCGTCTGTCGCGATGTCTGTCTGAAACTTTGAAGCCAGGCTTGCCTTCGAGGCCGGAATTCATGGGTCTGTGGAAAGGAAGGGGTCTCTGAGCGTGTCTCAACATTTAGAACAGCACACCGATCCCACACTGTCAAGATAAATGGGATGAAATGGATGATGAATTGGATTCATCCCATTTATCCCATTGTAATCAACATTTGGATGAATCCCATTGTAATCAAGATAAATTCATCCCATTCCCACACTGTAATTGATTTTTTGATGATCCCCATGGATAATGATTTTTGATATGGGTCGAATGGTAGCACACCGCCCGCACACTTCATTTTGCCCGACATCACTTTTAGATTTGTATGGCTCTTGGGTTTAAGAGGGTTCACAATGGCTCTTGCAATGGCGGACAGGTCCCCTACCCGAGTTCTACAATGTTTTGAACGTGCCTCGGCCAAATTGATATGTTTGTGCCTAACAATACCAGCAGATGTTGGGATAAAACCCAACAACAATAGCTATAGACACTACTGCAAGTGCACCCTGAAGTAGGTGTGGGAATGCGACGAAGAAAGAACGGATTAGACGTTATACTCACATTCAAGCATATTTGGGACGACGATTCGCAAAGACTCGTATTTCTTGGACGGGCTGAACCCAATCAACCATTTTGTTGGTAAAAATCCACTAATGTTGGGCAACCCCATGTAATCAGTTGCTTATCAAAATTCCGATCTGTCCCTGTTACATCATATCAACTCATAATCCTTGCACATCCATTGATTTGCTGAAGATGTTTTGCTATTTTCCAATTGGAAAACCAACCGTTGGAGAATCTACATCTAGGGATCATTTTTTTTGGTGCCATCTTAAAGCAAATCTAAGTATCCCCATATGAAATCCCAAACACAAATGACACCCTGGCGCAATGAAACCTGCGACGGCCAAGGGAACTGGGTGGTGAAACCGCTGGGGTTCGTTTTTTTTTGCCTGCGAAAGACATGAAACATCTGGAGATCGACTGGACACAACGAATTTTAGGGACAATCCTCTGATTTTGGTGCATTTCAAACACAAATTACCATGGAGTTTGGCAATATGATGAACCATGAATTGGGCAAAGCGAGGCAGATTGATGGACATCTCAGCACAAACATGCCGGGTAATTGTCACAGCTTTGGAATTGGTTTCAGGATGTTTTGGGGAAAATTCTAAAGTGGGCAGACAAACACAAGCTAATACATGCAAGGAAACTGTACTTTGAATTAACATTCATTGTGAACATGCTTCCATCAGGAGGATTCCAGATCTACGATGGCCTTCAAGGCCATTCTTCAGACCTTGTGAGGTGCGTCACTTCAGGGGAGAGTTTTGGTGAGGGCTGGAGTCTTTATCATGTTTTTTCACTGATCATTTGATATGTGTGGATAGTTTTTTTTTGTTATTGTTGTTCTTTTTCGATTTCTCATGAGTTTGATGATGTGGATGTTGATGTTTGATGATGTTTCTCAAATTGTCTACTGTAGCCCCTGTGATAATATCTATGGGACCAATCCTACTGGGTTTGTTGGTTGCCACATGGCTGCTTAGCAGTCGTGCTTGGTATTGTTGAGGAACGTATCAGGGGATGTAGCCAGATGGTTTAATAATATTTTGCCAGAAACTGGGGAATATGTTACCCATCTTAAACAAAAGATTTGCAACGTATCTAAGATTCGGAATGAGTCGGAATGAGGTCATTGTAGGTACCTACCTTAGGCGTAGCCCTTCCCGGTGGCAAAAGAGCTACGGCTTTCACGACTTGCCTTGTCGCTCAGGATGAGTTTTTGACAGCTGGGGGTCCCAGAAGCCAGGACTGCTTCTCTTTTGGCTGGAGGAGGCTTGAACAGATCTCTACTTGAGGGCGATATCTTTTGACCTTCGGGGAGCAGCCTAAATCCAGGCTGATTTTGACAACATGCTGATTATAAATCCTGATTTCTGATAAAATGCATCAAGTGAAAGTTATGTTGAAAATGTTTCTTTTCCTCTCCACGTTTCTAGTTCATCCATCTTCGTGGCTATAAAAGCAAACATTTTGGGCCCCCTGCCAAAGCAGAGTAAACTGCCACAAAAATCCACTAGGTTTTCCGGTGTCACACGTTGAAAAAACCTCATTGGTATCTGGATGTATCTGGGGTGAAATGGGTTTGTCTGAAAATGGGGCACTGTTAAATCTAATGGTTAATCATCATTTTCCATCATGTTCCATCATTTTTCCATATTATTTGTAGGAAAAGCACCAAGTTCAGATCGCAATTGATGGTGGGTCGGACTCTGCAGCTGTCAATTTAAGCTTTTTGAGACAATGCGCGTCATCAAAACCATGGTCAGTGGATGTTAGTGGCACCTTGAAAGCCGCACAATTTCGGAACTGACATCAGAAATTGGGGGGATATATATATATATCTTTGAATTCAATTGATCACTGATGGTTGGTTGATGGTCAGTGATAAGAGGTGTTACTATGTGATTCCTCAAGTCTTTCACGAAAAAAACATCTTGGGGTTTCCATCACTAGGGGATCCCCCAAAAATACCCCATACCAGCAAAAATTGGTCATTTGCAGACCGGAGCCACCAACTCCCCGTCATGGCGCTGTGGATGTACGGCTTCTTGGTGGTTTCTGCGGAGCTTTCTGGCCAGAATGCCACTGTCCATGGCCGGAACCTTGAGGAGTATGTAAACTGCGGTGTTTGCAAGGCTGTTCCTCTATCTACTTGCGACTGGTGTGACGGCACTGGGGGCAAGGCACAGATATCCACTAAGAAACCGGAGTTGCCCCCAAACAGCCAGCAACAAGGACCTAAGGAGGATATTTTTGCCATTGGTGTTGGGGTGCTGATGCTTTTGTCCTGCGGTGCGTTTCTTGCTTGGTGCCTGTGGAAGCGCCACCAAGAGAAGAAAAATGTGGACGGAGCCAATCCAGATTTGGAACTCCAACCTGCACCTGGACCAGGCCAAATCTTTCCACCAAGACAGCCCTCACCGGTGCAATGTTCAGGCCAGATCTCAGCCCAATGGCCCCGCAGAAAAGTCGCATTTTTCAACGTTGAGTCCGGGGCCTTCGAAGCCTTTGGACATCGGTATTCGATTGAGCACCCAGATGAGCCACAGCTGACCAAGTTCCATTGGGCGGATGGAACTTTGCAGACCTTGGTCCGTAGCCATCGGAACACTATTGAGTGGCAGACAAATCATTCGAATCCTGAGTGGCAACGCTTCCTTTGGGTGTGTGCCTTCCCAAATTAGCTGACAAATTGCTGCAAAGGTTCAACACTTGACCTTTTGTTAAAAGTGGTCATTGCTTTGGCTGCCAGGTACTCCTGCGTGCACCCGTGGTTCTACATCACATGGGATGGAATTCTCCGCGACCAGCTACTTTAGATGCATTTCAAGAGACGTATATTTCCCAACTACGTGGAGAAGAGTTCCCATTTTACATAGGCATGTGTGGGTTGGACCTTGCTGGGCTTTGTTGCATAGTTCCAAACTTGTTCCTTGTTTGTCAAGCATGTGCAGTATTTGTGGCTGGGTATTTCAAGAGTGTTTTACACACACATCTTTTTCAGGAGTGTCTTTCCATTTGCAAAAAATTGACGCGGAAGTATCTTACGAAAGTGTCATGCCAACGTTTCTTGCAACATTGTCTTTGAACAGTGTCTTAATTTACAGGTAGATTTCAAGTAAATTCTAAGACAGTGTCTTCGCAAGTTGTTCCAGTACAAGTCTCTGACACCAATTTTACACACATATCCTTAAAAACATTCGCAGAAGTGTCTTACAATGGCGTCCTTCAAAAGCGTCTTGCCCCAGGGTTTCTTGCACGTTTTAGCAGAGTGTGTTGCGGAGACTGAGGCTACAAGTGCTCTGTTTGCAAGTCATCCGGGAACGAAAAGCACTGGCAGTGCGCCGAGCACAATGTCCATTTCTGCTGCAATTGTGCAGTGCCGCCTCTGAAGCCGCCTACTCTTGGAGTTACTTGGCAAAAGGAATCATTTCCGGGGTGCTCCTTTTACCAATATGGGGATGAACCAAGGGTTTCCTTGGTCAAAAATCCGTGTTGATAGATGGTATTGACCAAGCAAATGAACTTTCTGTTCCACCTAGATCCGACAGTCCACACCAACATCCAAATCGTCCAAGTCTTGCTGCGGGCAGGTTTCCGCCAGATACGCCGTGGATGTTTTTCCACCTCTTGCCCGAAGTGCCACTGGCGCACTGAACCCCGACTTCTACGCGATTTGCCCACGCTTAGCCTTGGGAGAGCACGGTTTGGGTTTCAGGATACTCGGTGATTGGATTGGAAAACTGCCATCGGGTGGAGACCATATCTGATAAGAGCATGAGTAAAAGCCGGGTCCACTTTTCGAATGCAAACAAACATGGCAACTGACTATTCCTTGAATTGTGTAGGTAATTTGATGGTAATTCTCACACTGAGTATTGTCATTTTCGATTGCTATGTTTGTTTATCGGCAGGGAACTACCCTTAAACGACATCTGAAAAACTCAAAACTTCAAAACCAGACTGAGCACCACTTGGGGGTGCAGTTCCAGTTAAATGGAAACAACTTATACATATTTTGGAATGATCCATACTTCAAATGGTTCTTTAGATTGAAAGATATGCGTTTTACTGTGTGTTTAGCACCATGATATGCGCAAGACACCGTAAAATACCGGGCTTTTAGCATTTGGGAACGAACTTTCACATTCCCACTCCAGAAGTATTTTATCTGCTTCCAAACCAGACTGAACACTATTTCATATACCATGGTTGATACCCATTCATCAGATTTGATAAGCCCAATGGCACCCTCTTGTGCACTGGTTGAGTTCGATTCTCAGGAAGACTTGTCCAAGAGACGGTCGACCCAACTGCAGCCTGGTGGACGCCCTGGAAGACCAGCCACTTGACGTGAGCGATTCCCAGCGCATATGCACTGGTTTTCAAAGCACATGGTAATGGCTTAATAGTGGGATTATGATGGTTAATACATGCTTATAATTGCTTATAATGGAACAAAAACAACAACAACTCATCTGTAATAATTGGTGAATAACATATACAGTAGTAATCATCTTTAACAATGGGTTAATCATGGGACAAAAAATCGGATTTACCCACCTGGCTGATTGCTGGAGGGTATGTCAAAAACAGTTGTTTCCAGCAAGAACCTCTAAAGATCTTTAAAGATTCTATGACTTATCCCGGCACTAGTGTAAAACAATCCTAAGACACTGCAACCATGAGTTGGGAGATTTCCTATGAACGTGGCAAGGGATAATTTGATGCGACGGCAGGTACAGTGGCAAAGTGACCCACTTCGTCTCCTGGTGCTGGGGCTACAGGCTCCAAGACTTTGTGAGTGCGGTCAGCATCTGGCTACGGAGGACTCAACTGAATTCTGACGATGTCTTCCTTTGGGTTTGCTTCTTTTGCAACAACCAGTGCCTTTGGCCGTTTGGGTTTGTGTTACCTTAGCTACAGCTCAACATGGTGGAGAGTTGGATCATTCTTGCCAGAAAGTAATCAATCATGTGGGCAACCTAAACATAGAACCTCCAAAAATGTGATTTTGGGATATTTTGGGGATGGTTTATGAATTGGCTTTACCATATTAGTCATCGTATTGAGGGAGGATTGGGTCCCGCTTGTTGAACCGTGGAGTATGGCGCCGAGGTATAGGATCATGGACGAGGGCACCAAGACAGGAAGTGACGAGTTGAAAGCTGTCTTCGAAACGCATTTGGCTGAAGCTGGACAAATGTTTTTTGATGGCAAGCAGACTGACAAATTGGCTTTGTCTGTGCTTGCGGAGCAGCGTGAGCACCTGTTTTACTTGGGCTAAAAGAAGCCTGCAAGTTATCCCCTGCAGTGCAGTCTGTGTCTGTTCTGATTCTACACTTGATCATAGCCATATGGCCAGCTTGTAAAACCCTATTTGCACTCCCCCTTTGGCGGCTCGCCAAACTTTCCAGGGTCATGCAAATCAGCCTAAAAAGCTGTCGCAGACAAATCCTGCTGACAGATCAGAGGCTTTGCTCTTATGGATGGTGCAAAACGCCTACATCGGAGTTGCACTTTAAGTGCACTCACATCCCTGAGGCCACCATCAGATTTGGGTCGTAAAGACAAGACCCCTTGCACGCCTAGTGGCCTTAAACACTAGGCCTTGGAAAAAATTCTACGGCCAATCAGGCCCAAAGCTTCTCTCGGCTGTGCTCTTCATGGACGAACTCCTCTTCCTCGTTGTAGTTCGGGTCGTCCTCATGGCGTTCTTCTTCTTCATTGTTTTCCAGGCCATGCGCTTCAGGTCCGCCATCATCACGGCCTGCATCTTCCTGGTCCTCTGTTGCAGAACCATCCGCATCATGACCATCATGGTCTTCTTCAGGGATCACCTCGAGCTCCACCTCGACGTAGTCCCCATCATCACCATGTTCTTCTTCTTCTTCTTCTTCTTCTTCTTCAATCTCTTCTTCATAGTTTTCCTCTTCAGGATCTGCTTCAGGGTCAGATTCTTCACCACTTTCTGCAGCCGCATCTGCATGAACTCGGCTTGATTTACCTTTGCCCTTGCCCTTGTTCTGGATGAAGTCGCGGTAGGTCTCCAATCCCAAATTAGCGGCTCCCTTTCCCACAGGTGCTGCACTTGAGCTCGAAGCGCCTGATGGCGGATGCAGCATTGCGTCCGCTTCCAGGAACTGGTTCGCAGCCTCAGCCGCTTCATCATAGGCTGCTTCTGCTCCTTCGCTGCCATTCCGGTGGGTAGCCACAGCACTCTCAGCCCGCCGTATTGCAGCTGCTGCGCGGCTGATTGACTGTGCCAGTTGCATTTCGGCCGCTGGGTTGGCGCCCTTGCCTTGCAGGACGATGCGGCCCCCACTGCCTTTGCCTCCTTGGTTGGAGATGCGAAGTGCTCTTGGTTGCTTGCCCTTCGCATAGATCCGTTGCCATCCCATTGTTGGGCTATCGACGGAGTGGGTTATTGTGGACTCCTCACCCCTTGAGCCCTTTCCACGACGTTCCGGCCACCATCCGACCGTGTGGCCACGCCCCTTTCGAAGCTTCTGTGGCTCCCATGCAGAGCTCTTGCCAACCTGGAACTTGTTCTTGCGTCCCGTCAGCTCGTCGGATCTTCTCTTCATCCGGTACATGAACTCCTGGGTCTCCGTTTCTTCCACAGAGTCTTCCTCCTCATTGTCCTCTGCTTCAGGCTCAGGACTTCCGCTGTCGTGGCGATGCGGATCATTTCCATCTCGGTGACCATCTCTTCCACCGTCGCCTCCAGTTGCAGCCATCGCCCCATGTCGAGGATCCTGCCGAAGTTGAGGACGAGCTTTAGGTCGTAAGGCCATTTGCTCGTTTTGATCCCTGTTGGTTTCGTCGTACTGCACCTCCTGTATCTCTACTTCTGATGTCTCCAGGATCTCAGCCTCTGAGGTGCTCGACAGGGTTCTCGACGGTGAAGGTGCCCTTGGCCTTGATGGTAGAGTTCCCTCACATATTGGTCCAGCACCAGCCAGTCTGAGGATTCTCTGTAGGAGAGATTCTCCATCGCCTCCGCCTCCACCTGGTTGTTGTTCCTGTCGTAGTGGAGTTGGAACCTCTCTTTGGGGTGGACTTACTGTCCTTGCTGGTGGCGGTGTCAGGTTGCCACCATGTTGAGGTTCTCCTCGTCGTTGTTGGGATTGAAAACTTCCCATTGAGGAACATGGTCCCGTCGCTCCTGCTGTGAGCCTTGACTTTGCCATTGCCATCGCCAAGTCATGCCTGACCACATCGCCTGGTGTGCGAAGATCCACTTCTGAGCCTCCACGCTGTCTTTCCAGCCATGCCGTCGCTTCTGCAAGTTCTTCAGGAGACCTATATCTCACTGGCCCAAGGTCCAACGCCATGCTTTGCTGTGCCGGAGCTTGCCCTTGTAGTCCTGGATGAAAGCCTTGAGGTTCTCCTGGAGGTACTTGTTGTTGTTGCCCTCCACATCCAAGCCAAAAACCTTGTTGTCCTTGGGGTCCATATGGTCTATTTTGACCATGCTGCCCTCCTTGCCAACGAAAGCCAGGACAGCATCCACCTCTCCATACTCCAGCATATCCATGCGGAGGTGGTGCCGGCAATCCCGGCGGTGGCATCCCATGCTTCGCCTCCTTTTGGACTGTTTTGGCCTTTTTGTCCTGCGTTTGTTCTTCATCCTTCTTGGGCTTCTCGAGTGCTGGTGGCAAGCGTTTCATCATCTTTTTCATTTGTACCCACTCCTCATCCGTAAGTGGTCCAGATGCCGATGAAGTTGTACTCCTCAAAACTGCTTCTCGGGTAGCACCTCTTTCTTGTTGAAGGGCTCGACGTGCTATTTCCCGATCAAGCCATGACTTCCGCAGTCTTTCTTGGCGCATTTTTTCATTCTTTTCTTTGCGCTCTTTGTCCCACTCCTCAGAAGGAGAGGATTCTGCGGCCTGCCGCTTTTGCCTCAGCAAACTGCCTTTTCGTCTCCTCCTTGGCAGCTTTCCAATCCACCGAAGATGGTGACGGCGTCCTTGGCTGAGGTTCTTTTGGCTCCTCAGCTTTAACTTCCTCAGGTTTTTTGGACTCCTGAGGTTCTTTGGACTCTGGTAGCTCTTGTTGTCCTGGAGGCTCCACAGCTTCTTGCCGCGCTTGTCGTTCTTGTTTGTAGAAGTCGAAGACATGCCATCCTTTCATTTCGCGTTCTTCTTGCACTCTGCATCTCCTTGACCTCTCTCTCCAACTGCGGCGCTTGCTTTTTCACCCGTACTCTTCGGTACTTCTTCAATTTGGGTCCTTCATCTTTCTTGACCTCATCTCGTTCGGGAACTCCAGGTTGTAGTGCTGCTTCATGTAGTTGACCTTCTCCATGTTCAGGTTTCCCAGCACCTAGTCCAGCGCTACTTGAGGCTTGGCCTTCCTGCTTCTGAACTGTCCGCACTGGTACTGCATCATCTCCTGAAGAGAAGCCCTTCTCATCGTCCAACACCACGCGCCTGATGCCCTCTTTCTCTTCATCCTGGGATGATTCCTCCACATGGTGCACCTCATCATCTGGCACCCGTGAAGCTTGCGATGCCGGTCTCAACGTCACCAATTAGGGAGCCGGTTTGAGACTCACCCTCTTCGGCTTGGGTTTCCCCGGGCATCTCTCAATCAGTTTGCCAGGAGCACCGCGGTCTCTTCGATCGTCACGATCTTCTTGCCGACCACGATCACCTCGATCTTCTCCACCATCGCTCATCACCGCAAAGAATCGCAGAGCAGGTGGAGGTTGTCCGTCTATGTTTGAACCAGGCCGCAAAGAAGTCAAAACTGCAACCCGTTCTCCATCAAAACATTCCAAGTCATCAGCATCATGTCCCAACGAGGTTCCCCATGTGGTAGTACTCATGTTTTGGGATTCTGATGACATGGTGCTCCCTTTTGGGTAACCCTTTCTATTTGGGGACATTTTTTGAGCTACTGATGCCAACCCGGAACCCTTACCTTTTCCACTCCAACTGCTGTCCTCAAGTCGGTCTTGTTTGACCTTTTTGGTCCTCCTTTTGAACAAGCCCTTCTGGGTGTCCATCAAATCCAAGCCCATCTCCCCCTCATCCGCGACCAATCGTGTCGATGCCAAAGTCACCGACGATCCCATGGCACCATCAGCGGATGAACAGAGAGACATTGCCCGAAGTCGTGGTCCTGGGCCTTGTCCTTCAGGATCTTCGACCAACTCAAAGCTGCCGTCGCCTCCAGCATCCTCATCCAGTTGCGTAGTTGCCACTGGTTGTGTACTGCTCTGGCTCGACCTGGCAGGTTGTTGAGGTTCTGCTACAAGTCGATCATCGTCATGTTGTTCTCTTGATAAAGATCCTTGACGTTGCTGTTGTGGACCTCCCTGTTGATTTGCTGAGCTGTTGGCAGAAGCACCCTGCTGTTGTTGTTCACGTCGTACAGCTTGATGTATGCTTCCCCGTTCAGCTGCTCTGAGACAGGCTTCTGCACGTTGTTTGGGTTGTAGAACTTCTGCACGTTGTTTTGGTTGTGCCTCTTCTGCCCTCCTCTTTGGTCTTGCTTTAGGCAGTGCTGCCTTAGGCGCATGTTGTTGCATCCATTGCACTGGAGGAGCTTTATAGTTGGGAGGTACCTGTCCAAGTTGTCGTAGGTAGGCATTGCCGTGAGGATCCCCATGCGGGAATGGCACCCCAGGATCTGCCTCTGAGTCATCATCTTCAATGGGATCATCAGGATCTTCTTCACATCGAAGTGCGCTCACCCTTGGCACCTCATGCACTGATTGCAACCCTCTAGTCACATGCACTGATTGCTCCTGCAGAGCACCTTTTGGTGGCCTTGACGACTCCACCCCATTGCTAGCACATGGTCGCGCCCGATCCGTGGATGAACACCCAGGGACATGAGCTACTCCCCCATACCCTGGAAAGAAGCTCTGTGAGCCATTACAACCAAGATTTTCTTGTGAACCTTCTGCCGTGCTGGCTCGGCTTTGTGGATGGGGTGGATTTGCCGCTTCATCCAAATTCCCTTTTGGGGGTTGGCCACTCTTGTGGTCCTTCTGCGGTCTTTTTGCCAGTCTTGTGGTCTTCAGACATTTTTCTTCTTTTCTTTTCTTCTCATTCAGCTGAGGTTCAGACGCCTCAGCAAGATGTTCAAGTCCTGGTAGTAGGTCTCCTCCATGATGTAGGTCGAAGCCTGCTTGTTCTTGTGGAACTCCATGCCGTTGGCGGTACAATGACACTGCCACCATAGCCAAGCCACCAAGCACCAGTGGCTCTGAGTCCATCAAAGCTCCAACCTTCATGACTGCAGCTCCCACGCCCTCCAACGCTGTATTGAAGCCAGTTGATGCCGTAGTTGAGCTAGTCCATGAAGGGCCCACCACCTTGGAAACTGAAACTTCTCCATCTTCTGCCATTCCAATCAACCCCAAAAAGCGGGTGAATGCCTGTCCTTGGAGTGGCTTTGTCAAACCATCGGCTCCCAGTTCCAAGCCCGAGCAGTGCGACACCGTCCATGGTTCTTCAGGGTCTTGCACCACTTCTCGCAACTTGGCCGACCGAAGTCTCAGATGTCTTGTCCTCCAAGCTCCTGTGTCGGAGGTGAGTTGGCTGATGCCAGACTTGCTGTCACCCTGCATGTGCTTTTTCACTCCCCTGTACTCAAGGACTTCCAGAAGAGCTCCTGTTGACTCCCCATTCTGGTACGCCTCGTTGTACGCCAAGAGCTCTGCCTCCGCGGTGCTCTGGGTGATGAAAGGCTGCCTTGTTGAAGCCCACATGATAGGGTTTCCGCCATGGGTCATCATGATGCCCTGCACTGAGCGGTATCCTTCATTAGGTGGTCCAAAACTTGCATCCACCATCACTTCCAAAACTTCGATTGGGCCACCGCCCTTGTCCGCCCTTGTACTGGAGCCTCTTTGATGCACTGCCGCAAAGGTACTTCAGGCATTGCTGTCCAACTTCCACCACGTAGCCAGGCCTTTTGTGAAGCAGCCTTGACATGACCCCCCACCGTGTACGCCACATCTGGTCGTGTCCTTGTAGTGAGCCACATCAACTCCCCGCACAACTGCTGGGCTGCTCGCAGGACTGGCCCTTGGAGGTTCTCAGCAGGCTCTTCTGGTCCTTCTTCAACCTTTGGGCACGGAACCCCTGCTGTTTGTTTGATGTTGTGCTTGTCCATGAGGTTGCGGATGTATTTCTCTTGTCCCAGCGCATAGCCCTGGTCGGTCTTTGAGATTTCATAGCCACAAAATGTGACAGTTTTCTCCCCCATGACCCATTCCGGCGTAGCCAGTGTGAACCTCTCCTCCAAGGCCTTCAAGGTCTCCTCAAGGATGTTGTCCGGGGCCACGAGCAAGAGATCATCCACATAGACCCCCATGTTGCCAATGACGAACCACTTCTTGCCATTGGAAGTCTTTTCCATCTCTTCAATTGACCACACATGTGGCTCCGGTGTTGGAGCCAGGCGTCGATGTTGACCAGTTTCACCCTTCCAGCTAATGGTCTTGCACGTAGCGTCCCTGTAGACTGCCCAGTCCTTAGGACGTCCCACCAGCCCATAGAGCGCACCTTTGACCAGCCACCATTCTTGGCCAAAGACTTGTGCCTCCTTGGTGATCGCCGGCGGTGTGACCAACGTCAACTTGCCCTTTTCTTCACGTCGTGGTGCTTGAAGAAATGCTGTTTTCACATCCACCGTTGCACAGCCCCATTCCTTTTGGGCTGCCTTTGACACCAGTGACCTTGTACAGACCGTGCATAGTCCACCTGCTGCCACTTCAGCATCTTCATTCTTTGAAGCCTGGTTGCCACATGCCACCAACCTTGCTTTTCTTTTGAAAGGTGGCTTGATCGTTGCCACAAGCTTCCCAGGGATCACCTCGATGTCATGAGTTCTTTGAAGTTCCTGGTGCTGCTCCCCACCATCGATCAAAACCCTTTGATTCTTGCCCATGTCAATCTTCCGGAGGTTCACTGTCTTGACATGGCGGTATGCCGTTGAAGAGGATTCCGGGGTTTTAAGAGTCTTTATCAACGATGATACCTCAGTCACCAAAGTCGAAGTCTCCCCCGTGCCAGCACCTGATGTTCCTTTTGACTCAGCTGGTGCTTCTTTTCCTCCTTCAGTTTCAACTTTCTTCACATTCTTTTGATCATCTTTTGATCCTGCCGAGTTGCCCTTCTGGTCGTCTTTGTTGGCCTTTCCACTTTTGCCCTTGTAGCTTTTTCCACCCTGTTTGCCAGAGCTTTTTCCATCACCACCACCGGCACCACTCCCCCCGGCTGGAGAACCTTTCGAAGCTCCAGTCGTAGTGTTGCTCTTGTCCTCCTTGGTCGGAGAGTTGTAGGGGCAATCCGGTTTTTTGTGGTTTGTTGCTCCGCAAGTGTAGCAGTGGTACTTGCCATCTTCATGTGCTGGATGCTGGAACTTGCATTCCTTGATCTGACTTCCAGAAGCGGCATACAGGTTGTGCTGGACTACCAGCTTTGTTATCCTTCAGGGTTTTCACTGCAGGACTTGCTTGACCTTTCCATGTGCTTCTTGACTACCCATGGCAAGTTCAACTTCGGCAAGAAGCATTTGATGAAGTTGCTTGACCGTGGTAGCTGTGGGCTTGGTGTCAACTTGTGCCCCCATTCGAAAAGCACTGAGGCGGAAGTTTGCTTGAGGATTCCCCTGTAGCAACTTTGACATGATCTTGTCAAGTGCACCTACCATCAATGTAGGGTCCGGAACTGTTGCACCTAGTTCTTCAGCTCGTGAATGATGTCGCTGCCACATTCTCAATGATGTGGAAGCTTCCAGGTACGTTCCAGCAGGTTGAGTTGTTGTGAGAGCTTGCAAAGTGTTTTGTCTTTCACCCAAGCCTCCTGGTTGGTAGACCTTCATCACCTTGAAGATGATCTGAGCAGCCCCAAGCTGGCGATTCGCAATCATCTCAGCAGCCAGAGTCTTTGGGAGGGCCTGCATGAGCAAAGACGTCAGCTTGACGAAGATGCCATTGAGCTCCCGTCGGATCAGCATTTGGAGGTCCCACTCTTTGAAATGGTTGAGATCCATATGCACCCAAAGGTTCTTGACCAGGTAACCGTCGCATAGTCAAAGCTTCGCGAAGTTCCCTGAGTTCTTGCTCAAGTCGTTGAACCCTTTCCGCTTCGGGATCAGGTACTTGTTGGATTCCACCTCTTCTGCTATTCCAGAAGCCATGTACCCCTCCATCACCTTGTTGAGCACCAACACGTACTGCTTGAGGTCCAAGCCACTTGTTAACCCCCGCTTCATTGTGCTCCTCGTATCCCCCAAAAAGCATTGGTGGCACTGGAGGCAATGGCGGCGGCATAGGATCTTTCTCCACCTTGTCAATGGGCGGCGGTCCATCTGGAAGTTGAGTTCCACCAGGAGTGACTTTGGCCACATCTTTAGTCTGGCGGTTTGTAGGTGTCGTTGGGGTCGCTTTTGAAGGAATCGATTCCCAACTTGAAGTATCCAATTCTTCACGTTGTTGATCTTGTTGAGCACGTTGACCTTGTTGTCCATGAGAAGAAGGCTGGTTCTTGTCAATTGCATCCAACCTTTTTCGAAGCTCCTCATTTTCCTGCATCAACTGCTGCACCAACAACGAACTCAAATCTTGCTCCAACGTTGAACCTGTCTGGTCTTTTGGTTGGATTTTCTTGGGTTCCGCACGGAGTTCTTTTCCTTGCAGATGATCTTTGGCACGATCGTCACCTCTAGACCTACTTTGATCGTTCCTGTGACGGTCTCTCCAGAAAGTCCACGTGAGCCTCGATCGTTTCCATGACGACTTCCTCCACGTTGCGGATGTTTTGGGCTTTGGCCCCTTCCACGTTGCAGAGCTGAGACATCACCATGTGAACCTCGAAGAACATCACCCAGAAGGTCCAGAGAACGTTGCTTTTGTCCAGGAGATTCCCTTTCCCTTCCGTCTCGATCTTGCCGTAGAGGTCCTTGAGAACGAAGTCCATCACCTTGTCGTTCTCCTTGATCGTTTCCCCCTTGACCTTTCCCTCGATGTCCTTCACCACCAAGAGGGCCAAGAAGATCTACTTGAGGAATTCCTGCACATGAAGATTGCTGCACCAAGTCCTCATCAAAGTCAAAGAGATTGAAGTTCGAAGCTTCTTCCTCCATCCTGAACACCTGAGTGCCCTGTGGTCCTGGAGTGCGAGGCTCCCGGCTGCTAGGTGTCTCAAATGCCACAGTTGGCATTGTGCCTTGACTTCTCAGCAGTCCCCCACCACTGCCCATCGCTCGAGGAAGCCCCTGCACCGGTCTTGGTGTCTCATCTCCATCCCATTCATCAGCAGGTACTGGAGGTAGGCTTTCTGGAGTTACCCGGACTGGCGGTAGGTTGGCTGGTCTCAGCCTGTCCACCATTGCTGCCTCTTGTACTCCTTGGGACCAAAAAGGGTTCACCGGCTCACCTCCATTCAAGTGAAGATGCCCTTCTCGATGTCCTGGAACACTTCTACCTCGTCGATGCGCCATGTTTCAGCGACGAGAGGCACGGTTTGGGCTCATAACCTGCTTGCGGAGCAGCGTGAGCACCTGTTTTTCTTGGGCTAAAAGAAGCCTGCAAAGGAAGGTGGTTGTTATCCCCTGCAGTGCAGTATGTGTCTGTTCTGATTCTACACTTGATCATAGCCATATGGCCAGCTTGTAAAACCCTATTTGCAGTCTGAAAATGGTGTATACCGTACTGCATACCCATCAAATAGCCATTTCAATGGGAAACGCCATGATTAACAATCAAATTTGGCGGTGCCTATTTTCAGACAAACCCAATTGGAATTCGGAGAGGTTGGATGTTTTTTTCAGTTTTTGTTAAAGTTCGCAAATTCTTGTTGAGTTGTGAAACTTTATGAAACCCCGGAATGAATATTAGTGTTCAGTTACACCATGGCACCTAATGCGGGAGCAAATTATTTATTTTATTTTTCGCTTCACAATTATCCCGGCAAGAGACCCCAAACACATTGTTGAGGAGAACAAAAGCTCCTGACACGAACCTCTACAAGATCCTCTACAAGATATTCATACCAGACCCTCAGATCGTCATAGAAGGACCTCCTAGAGGATCTTACAAGATCTTTTTAGAAGAGCCTCCTCAGAGCATCCCACAAGAGCTTTCAGACAAGCACCTTTAATACACGGCATCTTCAAGCGTTTCATGCAAGGACCTTTCCAAGGATTTCACCAAAGTATCCACAAGATCATCTCAAAAGGACCTTCACAAGATCTTGGTCAAGAAACTAAAATCAGCACCGCGCCACAACGAGGGCGATCCAGCACAGGGGTGTGGGAGAGATATCAAAATGAGCACCGCGCCACAAAGAGAGCGATCTGACACGCGCAAAGCGACGTATCGCAAGCGAGATCAAACATGGGCACCAAGCACCGCGCTGCAACGCGATCCGCCACACACACAAAGCGACGAGAGGGGGTTGCCCGAGCACAGGTTATGTCAGAATTTCACCAAGTTCCGGGCGTGCCGGGAAAAGTGAAAGTTGAACCTGTGAAAAACGATGTTTTACCTACGTAGGTTACAGTCACTTTTCCGTCGACAACCGAAAAATGGCGACAGTCTCACAAAACAGCGTTTTGAGGCTTTGAGAACATCGTCCAAACTCATCATACGTCATATAGTCATGTGTTATGCCTGCCACCAAAAATGCCTTTGCGGCAGCACCTTTCCTTCCAAAAGTGACGAATCTCTTGCGCCTGCCATTCAAAACGTGCATAGCTCCAAAAAAGGATGCTCCGCACGAAGGTGCTTGGCCCACGTTTCGTGTGAACCGTCATTCGAAAACGGAAGATCGAGGAACTTTTTCCTGTAAAGCCGGACACGCCGGCGCGATCCATCGATCAACCCAGCATTGGCACTTACCGCAAGAACCCCAAGCTCGAACACATCGTTTGGGGAATAAAATTGAATGTCAATTTGGACAAACACACCGTCATTGGTTTTCTGCTTCCATCTTGCTTTGATGTTCCACTGGGTCTATTCCAAGGTTGGTCCTACTGGACAAAGTTCTGTCGCCGATCTATATCCGCGGCTACCTGAACGACCTCCGCGCGGTTGCTGCGGGTCTATGCATTGCTTTCAGGCCTAGGCAGTGCACAGAAGCGAACAGTTCAGTTGTGGTGTGTGCTTGTTGTGCTTGCACTGACTTGCCACAGAAGACTTGGGCTGTGTCTTCCAGAACCAGAAATGCTTTGCAACATATCCTTAATGGCAATGGAGCAGGCAGCCGAGCAACAGCTCGAAGACGGAAACAGAAACAAAGCAATGCGCAAGCTAATGGCTTCAATTTGCAACAGGTAGGAGAAATTCTCAAGCTGCTTACCCAGCTCTGCCAATTGTTGGGAATTGGGGGAGGCAGCGGAAAATTGTTTCAGCAACTTAGCACTCTGATGCGTCAAGAAATTGGAGCTGTTGACACCTCCAAAAACAAAGGAGGGAACAAGCCCAAAAAGAGAAAGAAAGAGCGCAAGACACAGGAAGGTGACAATGGTGGTGCGGGCCTTGGCCACAGGAATGCAGCGCTCAATTCTGCCCCAATCACCAATCCTACTAGCACTTCTGCGCAGCTTCCCAATCGCAAACAGGATGCCAACAAGAAACAGCCCACACAAGCATCCAAGTCTTTTGTGGAAGTAGTTCGAACGAACGCACCGTTCAAACCAGTTTGGTGTTTGAGACAGTCGGACTGGACCGGCCAAGTTTTGACTTTTGATTCTTTTTGCAGTGCGTTGGATCAGCCTGGCAATGTGTCAGCAACAGTGCAGTGTGAATCGGAAGAGCAACTGAGTGAGCTCAAAGTTTTGACAGAAGGTGATGCAACAGATCAGACAAGAGAATTGCATGTCCCTGCAGTTTTGTTAGCTCCAAAAGAAGCGAAGCAGATCGACGGCAGACAGTTGAGGCTCATACCTGGCAAAATAGCTGGGAAAGTTCAGCCAAGGCAGGCTTACCTGATAGCCTTGAAAGGAAACGGACCAACACTCAAAAGAGCAGCCGTTGTTTCTGCTGCTCCTGCAGCTCAGACTGAGACGGTGGTTGTGAGGTTGAGCGTTGAAGCAAAGTATTTGTTGAGCAAAGAGTGGCAGAGCATCCAAGCCAAACCAAAGGCTAGCGCTCAGTCGTGGTTGCGAAGGCATGTGCCCGCCCACATTGGTGCCAAAGTTTTTGACATGTGGGCTTTCCAAGAGGAGTGCACGAAGGGTGGTGGCAAGCCGGTCATTACTGGGTTGCTGAGGATTGAGAAAGATGCAGCGAAAGGCTTGCTTTCTTGTTCTGGGAAAAGTCTGTGGTTCGTCGAACCTCTCCAATGGAACAACAGTGTGGTGGAGTCATGTGATGTTGAATGGATCAAGAAAGGTCCTGACCTTGATGGCCCCAGCTATCTTCAAAAGGTCCGAAGTTTGGCAGGTGATCTTGGCATTGCAAGAGGGTGGGGCGGCTTAGGCGTCCGAAAGCCCAGAGCATCTGACCCGATTCCAAAGCCAAGAGCATGGCGCATTAGTGGTGTGCCCCGAGAATGGTCAGCCAGCACGGTCACTGAAGCGATCACACGTGCTGGCTTGCAAGATCCAAAGATTTTGTCTCGCAAAACTTTGGGCAAGCAAGTTGAATGGTGGGCACATGCGAATGCTCAAAGAGATCTTGATTTCCTTGAGATCCAGGCCGGCGAACACACCATTGTTGTCGTTGAAGCGCCCAGGCAGAGACCTCAGCGGCCCATTACAAAGAAGTTGTCCAGTTACGGAAAGGTCAATTTCCATTCCAACACTGGGCCTGCAACTGTGCAATCCTCACAGCCACCGCTAAAGTCTTTCTACATTGGCACGCCGCTCAAGGAAAAGAACGCTGCAGCTGCGCCTGCTACAGGCGCCACGCAGCCTGGTGATGTTCAAGCTGATGAAGCTATGAAAGCTGCTTCGGCTGCTGCAGGTGACAAACGCGAACCTTCTTCGCCCGCCAAGCTGCCGGCGGCAAAGCGAGTTGCAGTGGATGTCAAGCCACCTCATGGCTTGATTGCACGAACCATAGCTGCTGATGGCAATTGTTTGTTTGAGTCCATATCACAGGGAATTGGAGGCAAAACTGCAAGATCCGTGAGAGCTGCAGTTGTGAACCATTTAAAGAAGCATGAAGGTCGGTATAAACCTTGGTGGGACGAAAGGGAGCCCACGGAACAGGAAGAGAAGTGCGAGTCATGGGAAAAGTACATGGAGATGCTTGCAAAGATTGGGGCTTGGGGCAGCAGCTTGGAATGTGCTGCAGCTGCCGTGCACTACGACAGACCCATATTAGTTTTTCAGCCTACGGGCGTGCCTGAGGTTTACAACAGCCAAGGGAAAGCAGGTGGCGCCATTGCTCTGTGGTATCGCCGAAAGCATTATGAATTGTTGGATGGCGCATTGCCGCCAAGCATTTTGGAGCAAGCCGCCACTGGCCCTATGCAAGGCAACAGAGGGGGCGGGTCGGAAACTGGCACTCACTCGGCTGGCGCTACTCGTTTGTCAGCGCTGCCATCTGTGGCGGGCGCCAAGAAGCGTTCCAAGCGCGACGCCTCCTTGCCTGGTTCTACTTGCTCAGAGCGGCGCAGGAATCCCTCCCCTGCGACTGCTACTTCAGGTCGGGAGCGGCGTGCTGTGAGCAGCGCTGGTGTCAGCGAAAAGGACGAGGCTGGCAGCACTTCGTCCAAACGCCCAAAAAGGGAGGAATGGAATTGTCCTTTGTGCGATTATTCCACAGGGGTACACAGGCTGTGGCCGCAGAAAAAGCAGGCCCACATCAATGCTGGGCATCCTGATGAGAAGGAGAGGTTGAAGCTCACTCCCGCTATGGGTCAGCTTTGTCACGCCGCCCCTGGTATGAGTTTCAAGTGGAAGTGTCACTTGTGCAACATGGTCATTCCTGAAGATGCCGATCTCAGCAGAGACCAGGTGCTTCGCATGAAACTGAGGCATAGAGAAGAACACCATCCGAAAGCGAATGTGCAGCGTTTCAAAAGCGATGGAAGTTACAGGGCGGCAAATGCAGCCAAAGCTACGATTGAAGTGCGCGCAGCTGGCATGGCAAAACGCCTGTTGGGCCTCAAAAAAGGTGATGCCGGTTCCCACGAACCAGTGTTGGTTACCCTCCCTATGACTGGCAAGGCCAAACAGAAAAGAGGAGGTATGGCAAAGGTTATTTGTCGCAAATGTGGCAAGATGGCGAATCAAGCAAAGGAGCTTGCTACGCTGTCCTGTGAAAAGTATGTGGCCGGCAATGGCCCCAAGAGGAAGAAGATGCTGGCAAGGCTCCGCGCTTGTCTCAACAAAGCGTCCATCAGTGATGCTCTCAAGGATGGTGCCCGTACAGTTTTGAACATCATTGACTCAGGCAAGGGAAGCTCCAAAGACACTGCGCCCAAACACCATATTGAGGCACTTGTCTGGCCGGTAGATTTCACGGTCCGTTTTGCTTGCACGAGATGCAA